ACCCGTTTGCAGGTTTTTCATCAGGCAAACAGAGAGTTAGAGGCATTGAAGTACGAGTGTTATGACCAGGAGAGTATAGTACCGGATGACCACGGGAAAGGAGGTACCGCGTGCATGCAGAAAGGCAAATTAAAGCTATGTCGTATGTAAACGTAGTAAACGCATCACATGAACTTCGATACACAACTCAGCACATCTCGACGTATTTTGGCAAACTTCTGTTTATTTGCGCGATCGTATTGCGAAATTTCATTTGCAACTCTTCGTTGACGCTAAGTGTAATAGTTCGCAGGCTGTGATGCTTGGAATACGGGGTGCGAAATAGACTTACCTCCCCGTGGTGCAACCTGAGCAACGTATACTTATACGGCCAAAAGTCTATTGATCGGCAGTTGACTTCTGACTTCAAACTACTATGGCCCGACTATTTTTCATATTCCACCCCTCACACAGTACTCATTTTACATTTTTCATGCCTTTGTGTCTGTCTGTCTCTTTTACATCTGTGAACCAATCTTCTGTTTCCCCTCTCGACTTTTTGTCACTTTGATGTTCCTTCTCCTCTCTGTGAAGCCCAAAGTCAGCTCCAGGGCTAATGATAACTATCAAATCGCCTGCCATTTGATACAAATAAATATAAACGCTTGGAATATCACTTTTAGTGTGATAAAGTACACGGGACTAATTTTATCTTGTACCACAAAAAATATGTCAAACATAAAGAACAAAAAATCTAGAATTAATTTTGAACAAGTGTTCCAGACAAGTGACTTGGATGTCATAAATATGAAAGAAAAGAGTAAATAGATTTGCATCAACGTGGGATACCGCCAGACGTTTATTGAGGACTGAAATACAACATCAACATTCTACAGTCAAGCTGATTTGAAATAAAAATATTCCGTTTAATTGTCTGTTAAATGCTAAATTTTATTAAAAAAAACCTCTAACATATTAAGGATAGAAAATAGTTGAACTTAGAAGCGTAATTCGAAAAGAACATTGTTAGGATAAAAAAATGGAACAGTTGTATCCATAGAAAATTATAGTAACAAAGGATTGCTAAAATAAATTGGTGGATTCGTACGCTTGTCAAAGTGAGCAGGGTCATGGTCATACAAACTTTCGGAGTAAAACCTCCTTGCAAGAAAGCCTCCTGGTGCTTCTAGGACATCTACCACTACACTGTTACCCATACTTCCATTACAAATTGTTCCATCTCCTGGTGTACTATTATCTTACTTGGTGGCAATCACTATAACTCCTATTTATGCGAACATTGCAAACATGAAGTTGCACTCATAAGAGGTAGACTAAAAGTAACGCGAAAGTCATTTCAACACGATTGACCTTCAAGCAAAATCAGTCCAGACATCCTGATCGCTTGAAAGTGAGACAAATTAAATATGCAACCTGACTTGATACCACGAATGTTTTCGAAAATCTTGTCTCCTCACACTTCCATCAAAATGATCAAATCGCCACAATATCTCTTAGTGTAACCACAATTGATGGCGTTTTAAGTAATTGGCACTGGTGCCCAAATGAAATTGGTCTTGCTGAGCCTGCAACTCACTCAAGGTAGCAGTGCCAAAAGTGGTAACAATAAGTAAACTTCTACACTCATCTCTCTCAAACCAAAGTTGCCCTGTCTTACTACCGTTGATGTCGATCTGGCTGAGCCTATTCAAGGAAGCTACTCTCTAATTCCAGTTGATTTACACTCAAATTCGCCTGAGATTATACCCACTAACTAATTACAACCCGTACCCTCATTAACAGCCTCCACCGGAGCGTACCAAAGGTGGTAAGGAGCGTTAATGCGATGAAAAGACATTTATTGCTCAAAGAATTTAAAGTAAGAAAAAAGAATAAAGTTATTACTATTATAATAAAATATATTCGCATAAAATGGTCTCCAATCATCAAATTCAGAAGCACTTATTCAGAAAAATGATACTTTGGTGGTATTTTATGCGCAATTTGAAAGAAATAGCACAGACTAAGCAGTGGTAACTAGAAAACAAAGACGTATGGCATGGAATAACTCGTTAATTAAAACGCAACAAGCATTTCTGTACGTTATCTTTAAATGGTCATGATTCCTGAATATTAACCAAATAAGGTAATCCATTTGCTAATAAGAGAATAATCGAGTATAAGTAATGATTAATGATTAAAACTAACCGCAAATAACGAATCAAGCGGTACGGTTTCCAGATAGCGACGAGTTAGTTCCCGGCCATCGATATCAATCTCGGATTTGAGTCGAATAGCATTGCCACTACCCATCAATACTGCTTTAGTATCGTAGGTGCCTCTAACAATCTTGTGTCTGTCAATGTGCTGCATTATTCTCACCATCTTCTCCCCCGAGACAGATCTGAAATTGGAGACGCATACAATTGCTACTGAAATTATATTAGTACAATAGCATTACTAATAATGAATAAGAACATGGATTTTCACAATTCTTTAAAAATGGTAGACAATCGGAATACGTAATGATTTTCATTTAATGACTAAAATATAGTAATATTTTCATTTGTATTACATACGTACCATAAATAAGAAAATAGTCAGTAGTCAATATATGAATTTAATGTATTTTTAGAAGATTTCATAATGAGAAAATGCTGAGCAAATCGACTATGACACAGTGTTAATAAATAACGAGATGTGAACGAATTTATCTCTGCCAACAATACGGGTTGTTTTACCAGGAAAATCATTTTTACAGTTGAAAATGTTCACGTGTTAGAAGTTCATTAGTTCATAGCTAACAAGGACGCACAGTCAACGAAAAGACTAAAAATAGCAGTTGTAGCAAAAGAGTCAAACTTTAGTGACTCTAGTGTTTAACATTAAGAATGAGATAAATGCTTTAGAATGACTATATATTAAAATAGATTTTCCGATTTATTGAAAACCTTTCCAATATGTGCTTTGCGATTGGATTGGTTGGAGGCTGGTTTGATTAAATCAACCCTCTCTAGCGTGAATTTGTAAGGATCCAAACTAATTGAGTCGACAGGAAGTAATTGGGAAACATGCAAAAGGAAATAGTTTAGCATAAAGCTCGTTAGAGGAGCGAAAATTGCTAATATGTACCGACTACGAGAGGTCTGTGTTGATGGGTCTAAAAACGAGATTGAGCCGTTCCAGCTAAGATTAACCTTTCGGTTGACCTCTTGTAATCTCATAATGATCAACAATGAAATTAGTTTAAAAAGAAACTAAACTGGTTTATGTAAGCAAGGAACTGATTAATTAAAACAATCTCAAACATCTGGTTTTTATCATTTTAGAGATAAAATTCCAATTGCATTATGCATCGCATTGAAAGTAAAATACTTTCAAACACCGGATTCTTCATTCGTGTGAAGGTATTAAAAAAGCAGCACTGACCCCAATGCAAAATTAGGAGGATTTAATTCCCACATGCGACCTTAAGATCCCTTGAAATCATCAAACGCCCTCAAGAATTTCCATAATAATTTGAGCATCAAAAGATTCTTGATTTCTATGTGCACAAGCATTTACTTCCTCCCAATGAGTAAATATACATAATCTGTTCATGTAATGCAGATGCATAGAAATGGGACAAAACTGCATAAAACCAACCTATTTCTCAACTTCATATGCAATTATTCTGAAATTATTTAAGTAATATGTACTTAAAGCACAACCAATTTAATCTCAATAAAAGGGATTCAAATTAGCATGTAAATGAAAGATGAACTCACTTTCCCAGGAGGATATCCGTATTTGTCCGAATAATAAATGCCGCAACACTAGCCAGGAGAATACTAATTAAGAAACCCCCAGCCGTGTCAGGCATGTGATGCTGAAGCATGTAAGATCCTGCCAAACTACCACCAGCAATAATCACCCCCAACACGGCAGCCGAGTCTTCAAGTAAGACCACCGCGGTACTGGGTTCAGCTGTACCCGAAAGAAGGTAGGACCGAATGCTGGTGAAACCATTCTCTCTCGACTTTGTGCTCACTTCCCGGTAGGCCATTGCCAGTGTAGTACCCTCAGTAAGGAGGGAACCCACTGCGACACCAAGTGCGTACTGTATGGAGAGATGCTCATCCTCGATGGGCATTACCATGCCCTGGAGTGCGTGATAGCAGGTGAAACCAGCGCCAAGAAAGAAGATACCCACACCACTGATAAGAGAGGAGATGCTACGCATTCGAGAGTAGCCATACCTGTTAAGAAAGAGAGGAGACGGGTAGGGTTGGCACGTTCGCATTCAACAATGAAAGCCCAAGCCACGCATTTAAAATTCGAAGGGAATGGTCAATTTGTGGTGTCAGCTTTTTCACCTATTCACAATCTATAGGCCTACCATATCCTCCTCCTCCTCATTATCGTCATTTTTGTAAATCACACACAAAAGCCATCGATTTATGGTTGACTTGGAACGACAGATACGGATCTGAAAATTAACTAAAGATTCTATAGCTTTAATAAGGTAAAAACTATGATGGTATCGCAAACCTACTGAGAAAATTTAGATAATTATGGCAGAACTATTCAATCTCCCCAACCAGATCAAGGAATTGACAGATACGTTACTCTAATAAACAAAATGGCGACATCACCTATGTTGTACACTCAATTAATCCCTAATGGGTACCTCTCTTTGCAGTCTGAATGATGTCGCAATAGCAATATTAGAAGAATATAAATTCGCTTTCTTGAAAATTGGAATCAAAGATTATCGCCTTCAAATGTATGACTCAATCGAACGGAACGACCTCTAGAACCTAAGACGATGAATGTCTTAAAGACAGAGACACCAATTGGAACTCCATCTAAATGGAAATTTCAAATTCAAGAACCGAATTTCATGTTTCGCGTTCTTCTTCCTCCGTAAATGTAACAGAGAAGGAACAACAACCACCTTATTCAAATCGTACCTCTGAAGCGACGTCTTGATGAAGTAGACTAAATATAAGAGCAACAACACTTTGTATCGTCAAAAACATTAAATTAACTAGGGCAGGTAAAGTGAATTTGGTATAAGGCTGAATTAAAATGCGTCTAAAATATGACAAAAAAATTGATCAGTATCAAAGCTAACAACCTTTAGCTCGAGCACAGAAAAAAAACTATCGGCGAGCACTTTAAATCACAGAGGAATGGGGCTAAGTTCTATTATAAGCTAATGCAAAAACAACGTTAATCCAACCACAGCTTTGATGATCAGTTTTAAGTATTGGGTATTTGCATTGACTAACAACAACAAATCCGCACATATGACCATTTGAGATGACCCAAAATAACACGAAATTAGAAAGAAATAGCTACGGCAAACATGCGAGTACGTATGGCATAATTACCCAACTATTACCTCAAAGGATTGGAAATAATCATTTAAGGCATGGCATTATTACCTTCCAATAGGTATGGCCATTAAAACGTATAATAAAATTCAATGTAATAGCAGTCAATCGCAGTCATTACTGGGCTTTAAGCTCAGTAACCGATATCCAGAAGCTTTATGGGAATCACCATGTGAGGATTAAACAAGAGGAACAGCCCACTACTAGTAAATAAATGCATATTTTGTAAGTTTAACGAAAAAACTCTCCTACGAGGAAGTAAATTGACCTTGTGGGGGGAAAAATTTTATCAACGGGAAAAAGAAGCAACTTACGGATGGATTGTATCGGGACGCTGTAACGAAGAGTGGATACCATATGCTAGGATAACCTAAAAGCATAAAGTACATGATAGAAAGGCTAAGCGCACAGTGAGAGAATGTTAATTAGATAAGGATCAATTAACTAATTAAAGTAGATGTGTGTTGTCTCGAGCACATATCATATGGTATATGAGGTTAGAGAGAAGAATGACAGCTTCCAGAAGAGAATAGATCGTACCAATAAAAATACAGTAAACAGGAAATTGGATAGCTTCTGTTGCAAAAGGACATTTACATGATGAAAAACAACATATATCCTCGGTCTAATCCATGTATGCTGAAAATAGGTTAAGATAGCGACATTGTAAGTCTATACGATACTCATAGACAAATTAAATAAAATAGGGGCAAATTTGATCAATGTGAAACCTTTGCCACAGACACACTCAACCACTAGATTCCATTCTTTATAAGAGGACATTGATATTTCATTTTGTTAGTTGCCTCTTCTCACCCTTGCATCTTAGTAAGTTAGTAGTCATGTCCAATAGACAAGAAAAAAGTTGACTCCGCCAATGAGATTAAAAATTTCCCCACACTAACCGGTATCTGTACTTTCAGTCATTTATTCCCACTTTCATCTATCGTTAATTCATGAAAAAGGGTAAAGCGGTCGGACCCCTCCCCAGAATCCTCATTTCCAATATTCAATCAACAATCTTAAAGCAACCTCGAGTTTGAAGGGTACGCTAGAACCAAACTAAGCACAGATGATAGCAAATACACATAACTAAGTTTAACTAATTGAAATTCATAGAGTTATAGAGAGACCGCCCGATTTGGCACAAACTTTCGAATGAAGTAAAACAGAAGAAAATCAGCATAATACACCTAACCGACAAGTTCGAAAGAGGGTAGTAATCGAGTATCTGCAAAATAAAGACTGACCTGATTCAGTGTATCAGCTACGGAATGCATCATCTCAGAGAACATACTCTTGGAACCGGTTATCCACCAAGCCCAAGCTTTCGCGCCCACATTCAAAATGTTGCTAAAAGTTAAACCAAAAACTGCGTTAATTAGATCTACACAATCGCGTTATTGGTGAGCAAATAATAAACCTACACAATAATAGCCGCCATAACCACTCTGCCAGCCCCGCTGTTCCACGAAAATGGCATCATATTACGCTGAAATCAACATTAATTCGCAGTATAACAATAAAGATGATAAGATGAGAAAAAATGAACGCATTGTGCAACAACACGAACGAATAGAAGAATGAGTAATAAACAAAGAGACCGCGGCGTGTCAATAAACACTTGGATGTTGAGAGATCGTAAAGTCAAGACAAGACCAATAATCAGACATGACAATAAAAAGTAATCACAAGCCAATTAAATTCTCAGCGTATGAATTAATATTTTGTCGTGGAAACTTAATTAGTAGAAAAAAGAATTATAGGTGGAAAGGGAAGACAACTCACATTGTGACCAGCACTTGAGTCGGCAAATTCATTTGCAATTACATCATTGTTTGTTTTCCGCCGGGTGAGTCTGTCTGAAAGATATGTGCGAATGAGAATAATCAATTCCCACTTACCTATTAGACTCACATTCTGGCTTTCAGCTTCTCTGACTTTTCGACGAAAGGCGGCAAGGCCCTCTTGACCACCATACTTCATAAGAGCCCTGATTAAATAACTCTTGAGGTAGGAAATGAACCAACATACATTTGCTCCACCTCGTTCCGATCGAAAACCTGTGTCCGAACCTCCCATGTATACGGACTGCGACTATAGTACCTCGTAAGGGACTTTGTATCTCTATTTAAATTAAATCAGTTAATCAATAAAGCCTACTCGTTGGTGAGCATGTATTCATGAGAAACGCGGAATGGAGTGATAAACTTTTCTGACTTAACGACATCGTTGTACTTGAGGGAAGTTCGGATCTTGGGAATAACTAATAAAATTAATAATCAGAAAAAGTTAGGCTTGCCTGTGGCGTCTAAAGGATTTTGTGCATTGTTGGAATTGGAATTCTCATTGAGACATAAGGGTGTTATATACAGAAATCTCACTATGGAATTCCATGTTTACATCAATTCAATAACTATAATCTAACCTTGAAGATCTTTATGTCGAAAGAATTTACATAATGTTACTATGGAATCTGCACGTTTATACATGACTGATAAAGCAAGGTGATATAAATATCATGGGCACAAAATGACCGCAAAATATTTAGCGCCCCATCAAGTTGATTGAAGCTCCTTTTTCGAAAACACATAAACAAATTATTTTGTTGAATTTCATGAAAATAAATTTGCTGACATAACTTGAGCACAATTAAATACTTAATGTAGAAGGAAAGGGTTTACTAATTTAAATTAAAGCAGTGAAGATCTAATCATTTAGCAAAAATAGGGATTTTAGCGAGCCGATCAATATGTGATGGTATGCCCGGACCCAGAGAGGAAAAGGCCACGAGATCTAGTGGGCACTTTATTACAGTAATATTTACAGTATAATAGCAGCTTATACGGTTCGCAAATACCTATTAAACAAATCTTCTTTTCCGTCAACAAATTTCCTACAGAACTCCTCATCTGTTCCCTCAACAATCGCGTCCAGTGATGTAAACAGGGGTCTATTTAGAAAAACAATATTAGCTTCCCATTTGGATGCTGAAATAAATATCTTGCAAAGTACATACTTCGAACCATAGGGTTGAAAGCGATTGCATAATTTGAGAAAATTTGTCCTCTCCATAAGGACTCTTGGAGGCGCACAAAGAGACCTTGGAAACAACGCAATGAGTTCAAACGGCAATTCAAGACGCTTGTGGAGATGGAACGCATTGGTGGATAACACACGATTGCCTAAAATGTGTAAATAACTATTATAAATAAATGTTTGGAGAAACTACATGACCTAGCAAAACTACATCTAAAACCGAATATCCGTATTAATTTGGGAAGAATCATGACCATAGTATTTTAAATAAAAGACTGGGATGTATAAAATCAAATTCTACTACATACATCTAAGGCGTACAAATTATGCAAGGAAGTTAAAAGTAATTTTTAAATAGAACGGCAGTGCTTTCACAAAATCCTATGATGATGCCAAGGTTATCAAATTGAAATACACTGCAAGCCCAAAACTGCCCGTTGAAGGATCTTTATCACATCTATGCGTACGCTTTCACAACACAGGCAAAGCGAACCTTCTGATCGAATATTACGGACGAAAAACGGACAGTACGTGACAAGAAAGGTAATGATCTCGAGGAATTTGTAACAAAAGCTGTCGCGCACCTATCAAATCTGGTAAGGGCAAACCGCACAGACTAGTGTTAATCAGTGAAATATTCGAAATGGTTTCCTAATTAATCGTTCAATAATTAACTAGATGATGAAAAAGAGCAGTAAATACACCCTCCAAGTCTCGAGCATATCTGTATCAAAATATAAACAATGACAAGGCTTAAACTAAAAAATGAATGAGAACAGGGATTCAGTTAAAGAAACAAAAGTGAAAAATACAAACTTGCTTGATAGAATTAGACGTGGATAATCAATTAGCATTTCTCTAGTTTGGGCTGGAGGAAAGCCCAACATTTTCGTGAGTACAACGAAAACATCCTAGAAGAAACGAACATTAATATTTGTATATAGGACTGTTGAAATAAAAGTAGACAAACTTTTGTTGACTTTATTGGCTGAACAATACACTTTGGAGCTCCGAATGCAATATGCCGTAACTGGTCGTCTATAAAGGAAAAGAAACATTTCATCCACCTTTGAACAATGACGCTTGATAAATATCAAAACCCTAATTTACCCATCAGTGAAAACGTTTTTATTATACTGGCCAGTACTAAATCCACTTCACAACTTGACATTTCCAAGATAGTCGGTTGATCGGAAACCATGTGAACAACGGCATCTGATGTGAACTGTCGATCTGTAAAATATTTCAATTTCGAGGCAAGCTCCTCAGTAGAAGACTAAAATATAGCGAGTCATAAAATTAATACTTCAAGCAAGTAATAATGAAATTAGAAGCAACAAGAGCTTACTTTAACTATCGTCTTTGGGATGTATGTCATAACCCGTGAAATTTGAGAAAGCTTAAACCCAAAATCTGTAAGAAGCCATAGTTTTGGAGATATTGCTGCCTCGAAATCTGTTTTTATTAGAAGATTAGCAACACCTGGTTGGGATTCCATTTTAGATAAATCAGCACCGAGATTAACCAGTTTCCGAAGACAATCATTGCTGGAAAGGAAAGACAGATTTTTAAATATTCAAAAAAATAAACCACTAAATGTAGTTATCATTCATATACTGGGAAACAAGTGCGGCTAGATTATTTGCCTCAGGTAGGGAGGGGTAGTGTTGATCTACATCAAGTGTTGATAGCCAATCTCGCAAAATTTTGACCGTATCTTCAACCCTCAGATTCTGACAATATTTGGACGGATCAGGACTATTAAATTCATCATTGGCAGCCCTTGCAAGAGTATCTGCATTAACAGATGGTCCCAAGGGATTTATTGATTTAGTAGAGGGAGAAATATGGGTTGTAGACCTTAAAGTGCGAGTGCATATGGACGGAAAGATAAAACCACATCGGTGTAAGATAGGGGTTAGCATACTAAAATCTAAAACGAAGTAATGGAAACATTAATCTTTAATAATTGCACGAAACAGTAAAGATAAAAACCTACCATCTGGTATAATTCAAAGCTTAATCTTACTTGCAGCTAATTAAAACTTGAGTGAAGGCCTTATTCATAGCCATAATTAACAATAATTAATTAAATGCTGTGTCACTTTAAATTGGTTCGTTTTGTTCATTATATTTTGCGAGTCTTCGAAATGGTTGTTTCTTTTGCTTATAATTGTATTTAAGAATTTAATTTCTACCGCCTATGAAGGCACAAATTTATATTATTTAAAGTGGGGTGTGCGATAGACTTACCTCCACGTGGTGCACCCTGGACAACGTATACTCATACGCAAAAAGTCTATTAACCGGCAGTTGACTTCTCACTTCAAACTACCATCACCCCACTGTTTGTCATATTCGACCCCTTTCACAATGCTCACCTC